GACCCATTATCAATCAGGATGTGATTGATTTTGTTTGGTTTTAAATGCGAGCTAAAGATGTTCGTTACTTCATGCTTTACAACTGAATATTCCCTTAGTCTTTATTTTTACACTTGGTCGGCTGGTGGCTAAAAGAGGCAGCTGTGAATGTTTCACTTAATAATCATTGTTATATGAATAAGGTTATATTGTAAAAGATACCTAAGATTGTCACTTGTGAGGTGAAAAAGTTAAGTTAATGTTGAAAAGCAATAAATCATTTTATATGGAAATCATTGTGCCTGGAAAAGCTTGGAAAGCAAGGAAATTTTGGGGGGTAAAATTTGAATTGTTATTGGCCAAAAAAAGCGGCTTAATAGAAATTTCGTTGAGCTGCTATGTTTTCAAATCGTATTTTCCGTCCTCAAGTCAAAGCAAGTTTGTCATATGTCAAAATCCCAGTAGTGCAATTAATTAATTAATTAATTAATTATTAGTTCACAGTTTGCTGAGCCACAGTCAATTGTCTCAGTGTGCATTTAATGCAGCAGTGTTTTGCATGTAAACATAAATTATAGCTGACACTTGCCGTCCCAGGGTATGTCTTAAATGGTGCTTTCCAGTGAAATGTAAGTTGGATGCGGTCAAAACATATCTGTTTCAAAAGGAAAATGCTTTAGCTATTTCCGAGTGTTTTTCTATTTCTTTTCTTTTTTGATTTAACAAAATGTATTTTCAAGGTTTGGCAAGCAGCTGCAGCGAAAAAAAAATTAAAAAATTAACTAAATATGGGTTTGAGGGCTTGGCTGGCTATCAGAAACCAAAAATAAAGGTCTTCTATGCATTTTCTAGGATTTTTGACATCCTGAATAGATCATCAAAATGTATTAAGTGGCATGTACATGACCAAGACTATTGACAAGAAAGTAAACTGTTATTAGAGCATTCACAGCATGAAAAATCAAATTTACGTGAGCGTAATGACAACGTAAAGTCAGCGTATAGTTGAATTTTACACAACTTTACGCTTCCTTTACTCTACGTAAAGTTCAGCTTTACAGCACCTTTACGCGTACATGTAAAGCTGGCGTAATGAAACAAAAACTTTACGCAACACCTTTACGTTTTGCGTAAAGCTTGTGTAAACCCTACTTTAAGCTTGTGTAAAGCGAAAATACAAGCTCCTTTACGCCATATATATATACACATAAACACACTGGAAACTTTAAAAATAAAGGGAAATATAATGGTAATCGGTAAATTTTTCTTACCAAACTTTTAACAATCAAAATTTTATTTTTGTCCATTTCACACAAACATTGGATTTTTGTTATGTACTTAATACCGGTTATTTTCTTTGGTTCCCCATCATCTCTCCATAGTATTTACAATCTGGAGCCATGGAGGATTACTCATATGTACATTACAAATAATTGTATGAGTAATCCTGAATTCAAGTTTCGACACAAAATAAAATACCCTAATATGTAACAACACTTCAACACACAGTTAAAGGATTAGGCCAGAAATTTTGTTTTTATTCTTCAAAACTGACAACAAAAACGAAAAGTTATAAGGCGTTGAGAACCCAATAGACCTATAGAAAAATAAGAACCCAACTTCAAACTGACATTAGTCATCCCTACTATTAAGTTATAACTTGCTTTAATGGAGTTATATTGTTTAACCAGTAGATGAACTTTGAATAAGTAGTAGTTTAAAAAATAGGGCCCCTTTCCGTTTCCAATTTTGCATTACCATAACCAATTTTCAAATTGCCTATCTTTATTTTTACATTTCAAATCCCATGAAAATCGCCAGGTATGCTACATTGTTGTAACTGCAAAAGCTGCAAATACGAATCGCATTCTTTAAGTTTAGTCCCGCAAAGAGTGATATTACAAGGTTTTAAAAAACAAAACACACTGATTCTCTAAAACTGAATTTTCTAAATATAACATGATTTATTTCTGTGTTAGCATCTTTGTCATTACATTAAAAATAAAAAAAAAACGAAAATTTTTCCAACACGTAAGGTTTAAATAAGAAGATACAGTGTACATAAACTTTTCAAATGGGTCAAAACAGTCTTCTCAAAATATCCAAAAAAAATCATCTTAACTTAGTATTATACCAAATTAAGATGATTTATAGTTTAAAATAATTATTAGCATTTACATGTAAGGTACAGTGTCTACAAGAAAACTGATGAAGTTAAATTTTGATAAAAAACAGCAACTCTAACACGCAAATTAATGTAAAGGTGGGTCAAAATGGTCTCTTCCAAAATGAAAATATTTAGTATAATTTAGCATAATTCAAATTAAAAGCTTAAACAATTTTAGATAAGAAATAAAAAGACTGAAAGCCTAATACATGTATAACATTGATGGTTTCTTGATTTAGCCCTTTCACTCCCAGAAGTGTTTACAGTCAAACTTAACAACAAAATCCAAATAACAAATCATTTTCATAAACTGATGATGTAAAAGTTAGATGCACAAGGCTGTCACTAAGATTGCAAGTTGCAGGGTTTAAGTGAAATTAGTGAGCGGGACATTGAAAATGTGGAAAGTTTCGTTTCCTCTCAAAACAGCAAAGTATTGGGCTCAAAGTAGCCGATTTAAAGTCTGGTTTATGGCCGTTAGTGACAGCCCTGGAACCACTTTACAAGACTAAGGCTTGTAATTAACATGTATTAATCCTGTTTGCTTTGAGAGGACTTTCTATCACCAACATCCCATACCAGGCTGATCTGCTGAATAAATAGAAAGCAAGTATTATTTGAGTAAACTACACAGATTATTTGTAGGCTAGTGATAATACACTTAATCGCGCACTAAAGGCACAAGTACATGTACAGTAAGGGGGTGTTTACATGAGAAAACTCACACCGGCGCGAGTCTCATACCGGGATGACTTTTTGATTTTGTATCGGGTTTACATTATGACTGAGTCATTTCATATCTCGTTATTTGAAGGTACACTTTATGTTGATAAAATACAAGTGTGATACAAAATAGCAAACATTACGCGTGCGCTACCCATTCCAGTCTACCAGCAGACCGATTTCATGCCGAAACGGGTGGTCGTTTCGCATTTACATGATACTGCCATGAGATTTTGTACCAGAGTGAAATTCTCGCCCCGGTACAAGAACCGGGGTGAACTCACGCTGGGGTGACTCACGCCTGCATGACATTTTGTGGTGGTATCATGTAAACAAATATAGAGCTATGAGAGGGAACCGGAGTGAACTCGCTCCGGGGCAAAAGTTGCCCCGGTGTCATGTAAACACCCCCTAAGTTGCCAGAGGACACCGCCTGCTATTACTAATTAATAATATTTTTTCCTACACTCATGGCCAAATTACTACAATCAGCACAATTTTACTTGACACAGGGTTCCCCACATGCCTCTTTTCACAAACCAAGACTAAAAATTTGAAAAAAATGATAAGGCATTTTCCACAAGTGGTCTAATAACAGTGCAAAACCTGAGTAGCAAATGATTTCAATGTCCACAAATTCACACAACTGAATAAGATTCATCTGACTGTTAAAGATTCAAAATGTTTGACTAGTATGAGTTAAAGGCTTTCCTTAAAGGCAATAATATTTACATTCAGAACCCTACTTGCAGTTGAGTGAAAATCAGGGTAAAATGCTACATGGAAACCCTATAATAATAATAATAATAATAATAATAATAATAATGAACTTTATTAACGTCTCATGTCTTATAACACAGGCACAGTGCCTTACTAGTTGGGGAGACTGAAGCATATACATATGTTAAATTTATTAACAATGGTTTATTATATTATTAGAGTTCAATGGTTTACAATGTATATCTTTTTTTATTTTAATGTATGCATTTTTATAAAAGTATCATCCATTAATATCGTTGTAAAGTGCTATGAAAAACCACTGGATGTACATTATTATTATTATTAGAGAGTAAGCAGTGCGCAAAGAAAGTAGTGTCCGATAGCCCGGGGCTAGTGGATTTTGCTATCGAGCTAGTGAATTTTGAACTTAACTTGCCCGATGGGCAAGTGAAGTTTTTTTGACGAATTCAAATTAACGAAGAACTGTGAAATCGATTCTGCTCATCAAAACGCTTTGGGGCTAGTTGAAATGACATTTGGGCTAGTATATGCTAGCTTCAGCTTGCCCGAATGGCAAGCTTTAAAAATCACCTTCTTTGCACCCTGGTAAGAGAGAAATTTTCCTATCCACTTGTCCTTCACACAAGCAATACATTAAATTTGGTTGTCCGAAACCTAGAGTTCTTGTCCAAAAAGTTTAGCTTGCAACGGGCATTTACTGTTTTTAATCACATTATTTAATCACATTATTACCCTTGTATATTATTTTTGAATTAAACCTACAACAGAACAGAGCTTGTAAAAAAGCAAATGGATGAAACGACTGGCAGTGGAATGGCAAAGTTAAATGGAATATTGTTTCTTATCTTTATTTTTCTAATTAAAAATGTGCTTGTCCCACGGACAAGTCATATCAAAGGTTTACATGTTTGAACTAAATTTCTACCTGTCCCGGACTAAAGTTCCAAATCAATAAACATCCCTAGCCTTCTCATGAGCTCCACCAAAGACTTTCAGGGAAAATATAGAAACATATAAGCACCTTATTCCCAAAAGCTTCAAATTTTCCTGAAACTTTACCTAATATATTTTTTTCCTTTTTAATACGAAACGTTCAAGGTTCCTAGTTAATGTAACAGGAGTGAAGCCACTTTGCTATTTAAAGCCCTTATCCTCAATCTTGAAAACAATGCCTCCTAATAATAATGTACAGTGTACCCTGTAAATAAAGCAGCCTATTTTCTTTCATTGCCACCAGGGACATTTCACAAGAGAGACAGTTGTATTTGCAGATTAATAATGGTGTATGTAGACAAGAGAATTCGAAACAGCTATGACTGCTATGACTCTCTTAACAGTCTTATCTTTCGCAACTTGTTTCTTTAAATTTTATTTTCCTTTAAACCTAGATTTACTGACGATACAACTATGGTGCAAATAGAACAATTTCTGGTTTCTAACATGCATGACTGTGTGTTTTGCTTCCCAAAAAGTAAGGCATTCAATTTCCTGACAGTATGTGCTGCACTATATCCTCTCAAGAACCACAATATAATTTCATAGGAGCAGTGCACAATGAAGATTAAAATTAATGGTAATATATGAAATGAATCATACTTTGAACTGCAGATGAAGGTATGAAACTGTGAAGATGTTAACAACTATGTTGGCACTTACATGAAAATACATTCTAATTCAATCACGGTCTGCATTAGCTATGCATTGAAAGACTCATGAAAATGTCTATTCATTCTCTGTTCATTTAAGTTAAAACCCACGTAATTTAAAATCAAAAATAAACTTTTGTATCTGCTTCAAAAAATACATGCATGCTGTTAAATTATTCACCACCCTTGCGAAATGAATTCCCAGAGTTCTGGGAATTCCTAGGAATTCCAACTTATTCCAAGACATGCAAATGAGCAAAGATAAAAAACCTTGGAATACTTGGGAATACTTGGGAATGGGTTAAAACACCAGTGGGAATTTTTGGGAATTCCTAGGAATTCCCAATAATTCCAAGTTTGAAGGAAACTGTCTTTGGAACTTATGGGAATTATTGGGAATTGCTAAAACACCAATGAGAATTTGTGGGAATTCCTAGGAATTCTCAATAATTCCAAGTCATTGTTAACTTGGAAACACTGGCTTAATTTTTGGGAAAAACGATAAGTGTTCAAAGGTAATAAAAAGCGTAAAAAATGTTAATAATCATTTCTTTAATTGCCTATAACAACAAGGATTTCTTGACATTAACCATTATTTACAACATTTATTGCGACTTAAATCTTTAAAAAAAAATTATCAACAATAAGCACGATACTGAAAGCTTATTCAATGAGCCACTCAGTGAGTTCTCGTACCTGCGCTTTCCAAACATGCCCACAACACGTTTTTCATCGCGGCTTTGCCTAATAAAAGGTAGTCGCTTCTTGAAAAAACAATACGAAGTTTTCCTCTCGCTGCTTATACCTCAAAAGCGTTGGAATATTTTATTTAGCTCTGAAAACGACCGCTTCTTTCAACTTGCTCATCATCGAGCAAAATCATCCGCCATGTTTGAGCTATACTGGTTACCAGTCTCCCCACTAAGTGAACTGCGTCATCACGTGCGCCTTTTGAACCAATGGAAAAGTGTGAAATGAAGTTCCGTTTGGCGAGTTCAAATTCACGCGGACTTTCATCAGCAAGGGCACAAGTATTTTTCATCCGAAATTGACGTTATTTTAAACGCGGATTGTTCATTTATTTTGTTGTTGACACATGAAACGTGCTTCCAGTCATGTCCGAGAACGATAAGTCAGCTGGATTGTGAAAGGTAAAGGTACGTTCCTGCTTCGTAATGTGTCTTCTGATGGTAACCACGTACTCAAATAATGAAGCTGGAGATCAAAGTGAAATTATAGATCGTTCCGATATATGAACACGAAACTTCAAGATGGCATGGAAAACCATTTATTGGTTCCTTTTTGTTTACTGGAGACATAACTGTAGTCGTTGCAAAAGGTTGATGGAATTCTACGTGAATAAGCTAATACTCGATCAGATTCTGGCGGATTTAATACAGTAGAACCTCGATAACTCGAATTCTCCGCTAAGTCGAACTAAATTTGCTTTCTCTTGATCAAGATTTCATTGAAATTTACCCCGATAACTCGAATTCCCCACTTAAAATCGAACTATTTTTCGTTTCCCTTTAGAGTTCGAGTTCACCGCCGGGGTTCTACTGTAGTCATGAACAAGTATGTTTAAACGCCATGTACTACAAGTATTTTAGTTTCCAGTTCATTATTTTGTTCTCAGTTTGAGTCCTGAATTAAAAGAGCAGCTTAATAAGGGCTTAGCAGATAAGCTTGCTGGAAGCAAGTTGGCCGGACTTTTTCATTTTTTACACATATGTTCCCGCTGTAAAATTAATTCAGTCAAGACTCTTTTGCTATATTATTCCAGTTACAAATGTGTCCCACAATTTTTCAATAATGACTCAAAAACAATTTATATCTCAGGACTTAAATTGTTTTATTCAATTTTTAAAAAAAAAAAACATGTACCATAAGATGTGATTTTGAACATTATTATTATAAACTTGTTTAAATGCAATTTCCATGCTTTCTCCAGTTGGTAATTAATCATTAAATTTGTGTATACTTTACTATCCTGGCATTGGATCTTGATTGATGACATGATGTTAAACCTGTAAACTCCTAGAATTCCTAGGAATTTCTAAGAATTCCTAGGAATTACTAGGAATTTCTGGGAATTTCTAAGAATTTTTTTGTGATTTAAAATCTTGTAGGTTGGAATTCCTAGGAATTCCTAGGAATTCCAAGTCTAGTTTCATTTACATTTGGAATTTCTGGGAATTTCAGGGAATTTAGAACCAGAACTTTTTAAACTGGGAATTCCAAGGAATTCCTAGGAATTCCAAGTCCGAATTTACCGTGAAAATTCACACCTACAATTCCTAGGAATTCTTAGGAATTCCTAGGATTTTTTTCCTAGGAATTCCTAGGATAATCCTAGGAATTCCTAGGAATTCCAAAAGTTATTTCGCAAGGGCACTTATGACGCTATGACTGCCCGGGGAATTGGGAAGCTTGGGTTTGTTATTGACTGACGCATGAAAATATAGAACCAGCCTACGTAGATTATCTTTGCCTACTTGCAAATTCAACACTTGTTAACACTTTTCTATTCTGTTTATTAGTTCTTCTATAGTCTGTGAAAATTTTCATAAGAATGTTTGTATCACATTACATGTAAGCTTACTTTATACAGATGTCCTTTCTTAATTCCATTATTTTCTTTTAGTAATTCCCAGTACCAGTGACCAAACTCCTATTTTCCAGTAGAAAACAAGGAAATTCTACTCCTTCAGACCCCCAAAGTCCTTACATGATTTTACATTATCATCTTCAACGTCATGGTCTCGTTGCTTGCTTAGTATTGAAAGGTTATGCCAAATAAATACACATGTTTAGTTATAATTTACTTTAAACGGTTAATGCTGGTTTCATTGCTCACTGAAATGTTAGTTACTGAGTACTTGAGACAGTCATTCGAACTCGTCATAAACAAGTTGGAATTAAGCTTAAAAAGTTAGAGAAAAGGCGAGCCAGGACAACTTACCTTGCCTTACTATCTGCTCTTTTCAGCGAGATCTTGAGTATCGAAGAGCCTTAGTAATACGTGTAATACAGTCTTGGTCTGTGTTGTAAACATTCCAGTGTTAATGCTTGTGCTTCACACGATGTTTCTGTCTCCATTTCTGACTGAGTATCTCGTCCCGAAAGGGTTGCTGCACACTTGAGAGGTGATCGATTACTAAAGGCTGATAGTGCCATTATAAATTGTAACAATCTTAAGATGTCCTGTGATGCAAGTTTGAAACCGTTGGACACTTTCAAAATGGACGCCAAATCAACGAACCTGATTGAGCATGTGCAAAGGAACAAGCCCGCTGACCAGGTGTCCCTTCACTCTATTGTTTCCAGGCCCCTTTCTTTTAACAAATTGTCCGTTCTCAAACGTGAAGTCCGCGGACTTAAAATAAGGAAGCGATAAAGGAGGTTCAACGATGAAGCCAGTACTCTGTTGAATGTAAAATGGTCACAGTAATTTGTGAATGCGTTCTTTCTCTTTAAGTAATGCGTTCTTTCTTTAAGTAAGACTCGTCGTTTTTGCGAGGCGATATTTTTTCTTTATTTTCCAATTATTTCAATTTGATCAAATTACAGTTGAAACTCTCTACAACGGCCACCTTAGGGACATCGAAGAAAGTGGCCATAGTAGAGAGGTTGAAAGAAGAGTAAATGTATGTCATGTATGGACCGTCCGCCGAAAAAAAAAACAACAACAAAACAAAAATGGCCCGTGTAGAGAGGTGACCGCTAAGGAAGAAACACCTTATACTGACTGAAATCAATGAGGGAATACTACTGAGTATTGAAGGCTATTGTGTTTGCCGCGACAGATATGCCGTTTTTCGAAAATTGCCGCACAGTCGCAAGCTATATCTTTGCATGAACTCTGCCAGCAGAATTTTCTTTTCAGCGTCATTTTTAAGCGTGTACGAAGTCGTTCGCACCACCAAAAAAATTTGCGTGGTTGGCTTGTTTACATCGCACACCAACATCGAACACCAAATGAGCGATAAAAAAAAACCATGCGAACTAGTATCAGGACACAAACGACTTACTAAAAACAGTGCCGGGAATAAATTGCTGTTAGGAATTAAGCTAGCATTATATGACAACCTTACTAAACCTTTACTTGTAGCGTAAATGAGCGTAAAGCTGTTACAACAACTTTATGCTAGCTTTACGAAACCTTTAAGAGCCGAGCGCGTAAATTTACCTTTACAAACCTTTACGCGCCGTGGAAAGTTTGCGTAAAGTTGGATGACAAACTTTACGCAGGTTTACGCAAACTTTAATTTTGCGTAAATCTCCATTTTCATGCTGTGATCTATGTCCATTGGTTCATTTCCTGGCTGTATTACAACCAAACTAGCAGTAGCTGAGTCACCTGCCCTCCATGTATAAGTGATGTAATATTTACCACCGATTTCACAAATTGAAGTCATATTAAGACCGTCAAAGTAGCTGTGGATCCACAGTCTGTACTCTCTGCAGTTATTGTAAGTGTAAAATATTACTCTTCTTCTTTTCAAAAGTGTATTGTAATTATATGTATAAATTTTCAGTGATTTTTTAAAGCTTTATTTTCTCTGCTTGCGAAAGATGGAACAGTCGAAATATCGAAATATATTTTTACACCCTGTTGAGAGCTTTAATTATGCGGTTAAATATGATGCCGCTTTGCCCAGAACACCAAGTGAGACCAAAATCCGAAATTTAAACTCCTAAGCGAGGCGACCAGCATCCCCTTCCCTTTCATATGCGTAAACGTAACTCAGGCGGTATTGCCGTGTACATAAGGAAAACGATTATAGGTGGAACCTCATTCGTAACTACACGTACGTAATAAGAATATACTATGGATTAAGTTAGATAAATCTTTCTTCGAACTGGACAAGGATCTCTATTTAGGAACTGTTTACATAAGTCCAAACACTTCTCAAGTAATCGACCAAGAACTTTTAGACGATATTGAAAGCGAAATTGTAAATTTTACACTCAAAGGTGATGTAATTTTACATGGTGACTTTAACGCGCGCACCGGCAGCATGCAAGAATTCGCGGTCCATGCCTCTTGAAATCCCAGAAGACTATGAAATAGATACAGAAAATTATCGCTACTCACAGGACGAAAATACAACTAACAGCAGAGGGAGGATTCTGATTGATCTTTGCACAGCTCTCAGTCTTAGGATCCTGAACGACAGTGTGGTAGGTGATCTTACAGGGAAAAAAACATGCTTCAAATACAATGGGAGCAGTGTGGTAGATTATGTTATCATTTCTAGTAGAATTCTCAATTATGTTAATTACTTTATTGTCAACGATTTGGAACCCCACCTATCAGACCATTGTTCCCTTTCATTCGCATTAATGCTAAAACACAAAAAAAAGGTGCTCCAAAGAATCTGTCATTATGTGAAACTGGATTGGAAGACGAGGAGCACTTTCTGATGAATTGCATAGCTTATAGGGATCCTAGGAGAGAGCTGTTCAGGACGGCTAAAAAAGGAAACCAATCTTTTTCTTGACTCTATGACTCCAAGCTCTGCTTTTGCAACGTTGATAAGTATGAAGCAAGGAGAGAAAACGTATGTGATCGCTTCCGCGAAAGAGAAAGACGTGTTAAATATAACCTTGTCTAATTGTATAAATTCTACAAATGTACACCTCTATAATTATTGCACCAAAATCTTTGTTATCGTTGTAAACACATGTGTCTGTAGGCGCTCTGTTGATAATAAAGCAGCCATCCTATCCTCACGAAAGCTAGCATCGGCCATTGTGTAGATATAGTATAAATGCGGTAAAATATGCGCTTTAACCTGATTAGTCCAAGTTGCCTCATATTTAATGGATCTTGTTTGCTCTATTCCGCAGTGAAGGTCCGTAAAGCGAAGGAGGCTGTTTTCGTCTTGTAAACCATGAGCTGGTTAAAGCTATCTGCACTTGGAAAGGTTTTACTCTTCAGCTGCATTTTAACTTTCATCTTCCTCTCCGTGTATTTAGCACACGTGGCTCGGATAGATATTACTTCCCGGCCCCTGCTCGACAACAACTGTAAAATTAACAGCAGCCAAAGCATCACCGGACCAGCGTTTACGGAAAACCCAATAACGCTATTTGTAAGAATGTCTGGCAGTAAACCAGATCACTGGTTTCGTTATTACTGTCATTTGTTCAGGACTTTGGTTCTTTATTGGCCTCCGTCATTTGGAAAGATAGCTATAGTTCTTGATGAAGAAGGAAAAGAAGATCACAAATTTGCCGCAAAAGTCAGCCGTGAAAACAAACGTTACTTTCCTGATTTCAAGATAGCAATAGCCTTTGAGGCTCCTCCCAAAAACAATAGCACATTGACAGGTAAAGTTCATCGCGAGGGTTACATCAGGCAACTTTGGAGCAGTTTCTTCATTGATCAGTATACAAACGATTCCATAATTGCTTGGATGGACACTGACACTGCCTTTCTCACCCCAGTAACCAATTCTACAGTTTTTGCCGGCACGAAGTTACGGGCTATGGCCTCAGATAACACATACGACAGGTTTTGGGTTAAGCACTGGATAATAACAAATGAAATTGCTCTAGGATTGCCCTTCGTTGCTGATTTTATGATTTATTTCCCGGTATACATTTACCGGGATACCTTTACGCGCTGCAGAGAATACATACTGAAGAGATTCAACTCCACTGATCTTGAAGACGTCTTTCCCAAGTTCTACGAAACGAAGGGGAAAGCACAGTGGCTGGAGGTGTCCCCTGTAAACATTCTACTCAGTTATGCTTGGTATTTTGAAAAAGATCGCTACGACTGGAGTTTTGAGATCACCAGTAACCTAACAGAATATAATAAAAAGTTTCCAAAAGGCCATGCTATTGGACCTGAACATACAAAAACTATTCTATCGGAACCTCAAACAGCCTTTCATACTTATAAAATAGAGGGAACGTGGATATGGTCAAAGATTCTTGTAAGTTACTGCTTGTCACACCGAGCAGCGGGGAATAAGGTAGATATATGCACCAATCATACCGCTGCGTTCAAGGATAATTTGCCTCTTTTCAACTACGATCTTCAGTTTATTACCGATCCTAATAAAAGCCCATGTAATACCGGCAACAATAAGTTAACCTGTTTGCGAATTCTAGAGCGTCATTATAACCAAGTTGGTGTTGAGATAAATGAAGGGCGTAAGTTGGAATGGAGCAATATGAAGATTGTTGAACAGTTTGCTAAGAACTCTGGTATTAAATGTAACACAATATAGAATTAGACATAGTCAAACAAGCGATGTTCCCAGAAGCAGAATAAGTGACTGTCTTTCACATAGTTGACTTATCATGTGTTGATTATAGAAATTCTTAAATTCAAAACCTAATTGGTGGTTGATTTAAGGACGTTTTTAAGGGGTCTGGAACTTTAATTTTAAGAACTGCTACTAAGGATAAAACATGTTTCAAAAGAGCAAATATACTAGCAGCCTCTAACTCAAAGAGATAAATTCTTAAAAGTTTAAGAGTGGCCCTTTCTAATATAACGCACCAGTACAGTCTCTATATAGTTTAGTTTTAGACCAAGGACGACACCCTTTTCTGTACTAGACTATCCGGTTTTGCACAATTTTCTACAATTTCTAGTTTTGTGATTTGGAGAATAAAATGAGGTTCAAAGATGACAAAGCAATTATCCAATAAGCAGTAAGCAAACCAGTCGGCTATTTACAAACCCTTTTGTGGACGGCGCTTTTTAACATCGTCGTTCTGTGGGGCACCTGTCGCAGTTTCTAATAACTTAACACGTGATATAGCGTGATTCTGTGGGTGTTCTGTGAAATGCTCTTGCATCAAAGGGCAAATCATGCCGACCAGAAACAACAATAACCGCAGAAAATGCGTGCCATGACCTCTTAGTATGAAATAAGCGGCAAAAATCACATTTGCTCAGTCAAAACGTTTTCTTCAGAGGTATAATCTACCCGCCAGAGCCGGAAATTGTAATTGGAACAAGCAGCATTTTAGCATAAGGTAAAAGTCGTGTGTTGCCTACCGACTTCGTTTTTATGCTTGAATGATTTTTTTCATTTAGTTTTTATTCATATATTTATTTGAGAAGTAAAATTTAGCTTTTAATCTGACTTATTGTAATAATAATAAAATCCACACGATGATCCGCTAGCTTGAGTCCGAGTCATTCCTATTTTTCTTTCGGGATCATTTGCGGTCGACTTTGGGGATCACTTGCGGTCGAGGATCATTTGCGGTCCATTTTGGGGATCACTTGCGGTCTCGGGATCCATTTGTGGTTGGGGATCATTTGCGGTACTGTAAAGACGTCATTTACTTTCACATCCTTTACTATCTGGTTGCTCTGACGACGAGACATCAGGTTGTTAATAGTTTTCCAAGTCCTTCGAGCATTTCTTTCGGATTGAATAAAACTATTGTGATAATAGGATGCCTTAGTGGTTTTTACTTTATTTTGATTCGATTTCGCAGCTTTCTGTAATTGCCCCAGTCTTAATGATTCTTTGTTTTTATCGCCTTCCTTTTAGCAGCAGCATCACGACAGCGCATACCTTCCTTTAAGGCTGAATTAATCCAGGGTATTTTGTTCAATTTAGTACGTCTAGTTCGAAAAGGAGCATGTGAGTTAACAACGCGCAAAAAGTTTGTTTTAGACCATACCAAATTTTTCTTCTGATTCATTGAACAACCATTCTTGTTGAGAGATTTCATTTCGAAAATTTTCAAGATCAAAATGTCGAAAATTTCTGTAAGATATCGGAGAGTGTTCCTTTAGATGGTAAATCAGAAGATATTTTCCGATAAACATAGACGAGGCTATGATATCGCTGATGGCAATATGGGAGACACCGGAACAGCCTACTCTGTCTGTATAAGTAGTATAGATCAAATCAATTAGTGTAGATGAGGATTCTGTAACACGCGTTGGTTAATTTATGAGTTGTTTGAGCCCATATAAATCCGAAATCTCGAGTAAATGATGAGTGTTTGCATCAGGTGTAGGAGAAGCCAAATTACAGTTTAAGTCACCTAGCAAATAGTACTCTAGGTGGAGAGAATCGAATAGCTTCTAATGACTTGTAGCTCGAAAATAAATCGGTTGGAGAACAAGGAGGACTGTGCCATGTTGCTACTAGAGTAACATTACCTAGCAACATTCGTCCGATTCTTTTTTAGTTCTACGACCTTCAATACGTACATTTAATACAATATGGAACTACGCTACATTTTAATACTGGCAAAGACCAGAATACCAAGCACCTCCGTGTCTTCCGCTGGCGCGCTCGTTCTTGCGCCTACTACTGCCATGCGCCTGCAACGCAGTCTAAGACCAGAAAGTCGTAGGCCACGCGCGATTATTCTGGATAACTCGTGAGCTGAGGACGCAAATCTCTGGCTTGTGTCAAATTGTAATCTCTTCCCTTTAGGCCCGGTTCAAACGTCCAACTTTACATTTGCCGAACCTAATACCTATTTAGGTCGACCCAAACTAATAAGTTCGCTGTTGATTCAGACGGTCGAACTTTACATGTGCCGAACCTAATTCGTGGCGAAAAGAAATATCATCCTTAATGCTTAAAACAGGGAAATAAACTGAAAAAAGTAAAAGTCACCAAGCCTGGATATTCTTGTTTTGATCTTAGCGTGATTTGTGTTCTATTATGGCAAGGAGGCAGCTGAGGATATTGTGATCATGATATTTGGACTATAGCTACATAAAAGTAACGCCATAAAGTTTAAAATACACAACGATTTATTTATGGATAATATATAGATTTAGCCAGGGCTAAAAGCCAAGCTCCTATTAACTCGAATTTATAATTTAAATCAAACAATAAACTTGTACATGTATTCCACAAATCAGTTAACTTTAGAGCAAATTCATGTCACTTTCGAGGGAAAGGCTAAGTGATTTTGGAGAAAAATAATTTGGAAACAGTCCAAGCTAAGAGTGAACTTAGTCTTAGATGAGTTGATAGCCTTATATGTGCACTCAAAAAATAGCATAGCCATAATGGCTCTTGATCACAGTAGATTAGGCCTGGAAAACAAATCAGGCCGAATCTTTTGCGTTCGACAAGTTTACTTTAAAAAATCTTGCTAACAAATCTGGGGACGTGTAAACAAACCTTTTATACTTTTTATACATCACATCTAAGGTGAAACAGTACCATAATGCGCTGTTTTTATCATACAGACCTCGGACAGAATGTAGTATTTCACAATTTTGCTATACAAAACGGCTAGCCGGTTCTCACTCTTGACAAGCGCCAAAGTCGACTGTTTAAATTAAGATTAATAGAGTTATACGCTTCAACAAAATAAAGAATTTATTATGTTTAATTTTAGTCTAATGGTTTTACTCGATGTGTAATCTTCAGAAGCGTTTGATACGCGCGGCATTTTGACTACTCCTGCAAGCGATGTTCATGAGCGACTGAAAACAAACGGCACAGCGATTAAAATTGCAAAGAGACTACTAAAAATAAATAATAAAAGGAAAATTATTCCGTGAAACATATACAGGGACAACAAACAATCCTTGTTTATGTTTTAAGCCGGCTTCCCGGTGTTTGATTTTTTCAAAGATGAACGTAACTCGAAACAAGAAAATCGCTTAAAGCTTTCTTTTGCAGCCAGATTTAAAACTAAATATTCTTTGGAACTTTTTCTTTCTATTTGCGGTGAGAAAATGTCTCAAGGCTTTTTAGAGTTCTATAAGCTTATAATCAAACCTGATACTCGGTCAGATCATTGTCTCAAATCTTAAAAACGTGCATAAACTAAATAGCCCCATAAACTACGCTCGACTTCATTAAATTAGATATAAAAAACAAACATCAAATAAAATAATTACTCAGGCTTACCATTCGAGATGCACTGAAAACTATCAAGTAAGGCCAGAATCGCTTCAGACTTTTCAACCCTCTTACGCATCAAGCAAGGTGAAAAACGAAAACGATTCCATCCGAAATTAAATCGGATTTCCGACTTTGACAAGCGACGTATTTCTCAACCAAAAACCTAGCCTGCGTGGCAGGCGTTTGAAAGGGAAGCCGAGGGAAAGGGAGTTTTAGGTGCGAGAGAAACGCGAGAGGCGCGCGAGGAGGGAGGGAGGGAAACGCCTGCGAGGAGACCATTGTTTTTCTCGTTTTTAACATCCACCAGGCAAATGTTAAAATCCTGATTGGTCCGTCTTCAAAACATGTCAATCACAGCCTTCATACCTTAATCCGATATGCTGAAATCAGCATCACGCTACTAAGTAACTTAATCGATCTTTAAGTAATCATTTAAAAAATATGTTGCTAGTGAGGCGTGATGAGATTTATGTATGGAATTCATCGTTTTAGAACGAATAGAAACGGAGGGTATCTATTTCAGCTTGAAAGGAGAATAGAAGAAAGCAGTTAAAAGACTCGTATGAAGGAAAAGACCTGTCAGCTAGATGAGTTTTGCTGACTGGTTTTGAGAAGTCTTGTCTCCCAACGGCTTGTTTTACTCACTGGAAGAGAGAAAGGAAATATCATGCAGCCAGTGTGTGCTTGTTATCTGCTGTTTGACCTCAAACGCCTACCACGCAAGCTTTATCAACGACCAGATTGTAGAAGAAGAAGCGATCTATAATCCTAAGCGATTTTTGGTTTGAGGACTTCTTGCTGGTCATAGACGTTATAAAGCCGCCAGGAACTTACTTTGATAATAATATTGATTGCTGAATTAGCCTTAGTGTAGATCTTTGAAGTTCAGCTCTTCTTTCCCTGCTACCAGCGTTGTTTTGTATGCTGCGCTGGATCCAGTTCGAGAGTCAGCAAAGTGTTTGTAATTAATTTCTCCGACAAACACTGCATGCAAGTTGGGAAGTCCAACACGATACCTTCAGCAAAAACGTTATAGATTTATGCTGGATTTTATATAACAAGCCACGCATGGTTGCGTCTTTCTTCTTTCAACAGACGACCGCATTTACACTTTGTTTAATAGTACCTTCACTTCAGATTTCTTGTTTTAGGAAAACAAAAGAAAAACAGTACGCGAAATACGACTTAAATAAGCGCATCGCGGCCAGACTTATTTGACAGCTAGTCATTCACAGTTGCGTTATTTTTGCATACATAATTAGTAGGCGGGATGGCGAAAACAATGGTTTCCTGGCAGGCGTTTCCCTCCCTCCCTCCCTCCTCGCGCGCCCCTCGCGTTTCCCTCGCGCCCAAAACCCACTTTCCCTTCCCTTTCAAACGCC